CCTGGGAGTTGTCAGCCAGTGTATCAGCAGCAGGCAGCTCAGAGAGAGGATGAAATTTCTCCTCTTGCCTTCCCTGGTTCTGTCCAGGATTATGCATCTCCATTCCCACTGAAAAGGTCTGTACTTCCATGAGAAGCAAAATTCAGAAGACCCCTGCAAGGATGATCACCCTCATCCAAAAACCTCAACATACACTAAACACAAAAAGCCTGGGGTACAGCTGCTGCAATTACAGCTTCTTTTTTACTTTTTTTTTTCTTTTTTTTTCGACTTGGCTATCTAGGAATGAGAATAAGTGTTTGGGACCTTAAAACCTTGTGGAAACAACAATTCAACAAGTCCTGGATGTGAAGCCACCATCCGGCTGCGGCTTTTGGCTCCGTCTCTGCTACCCTGGTCTGGCTGCAAGAGGAAGCAGGATGATGGAAACAAAACCACGCTGCACTAAGGAATTTAGAGGGGAGGAGAAAAAAAAACCTCCCGACCAAAAAGCAAGGGCTACGGATGAAAATCAATTGCATCGCTGAGGTTTAACGAGTTCTCAGCAGCCAGCTCGGCCGCCGTCACCACCGCAGCTGCAGCTGCTGAAGGCGATGCCAAGCGTTCGACTTGGCAGAGTGAGGGCAGCTCAGCTGGGGGGTGACAGGGTGACAGTCATCACCCATCCCCTGGCACTGGGCAGGATGGGGGTGGCAGCAGGAGGCAGGTTGCCCAGACAGTTTCAAATGACTGGATGCAATTGCTTGAGCCTTGGGCTTCACTCCCAAAAGCCTTCCCTTGGGCGTGGAAGACACTTAACCCTGTGCATCAAGAAGCATCAGGACTAAGATAAAAAGCCAGGAAGATCTTCGTATTTGGTAAAAATACAGAGCTGGCTTGATGAAGGACGCGCTGCAGAGCCCGTGGGTTTTGGATGGTGCCCACCCTTGTACGTCCAGCAGAGAAACAGGGACCCTCCCTAAGGGATGCCCGTCAAGGGTGCGTAAAGGGCGCTCACCGTCAAGAAGAAGTACCAGGGCTGAGGCACGCCGTACTCCCCTGGAAAGACGGCCTCCACGTACCAGGCCACCACACCGTAGAGCACCGAGTCCAGGAGCAGCATCCCCAGCACTTGGGCTAAAGTGAAGTTGTCGTCCACGCTGACGGGCTTCATGAGGTCCCTCCACTGAACGCCGGTCCCTGAAATGCACGCGAGGTCACTGCCCACCTCTACACACCCAGAAGGACAAAGCCTTCTCCAGGATGGTCAGATAGCATTCCCTGTCCCAACTAACTGCTCAGTAACGAGGAGCATCTGAATGGCTCTATAATGCCTTCTATAAATGGAGGGAAAACCTGCAGCAGAACGCCCACCTCACCTCACCCCAGCACGCTTCTGTCACATTCTCTGCAACTTCCCCAGGAAGAAGCAATGCACTCTCCAGCCCCTCAGCTATCACTTTGCAAAAGCATGGCTTCTGCAGGAACCAACAGCAAATTCTTATTCACACAGAAATTAAAAGATACGCCTTAGGAAGGAGGGAACACAATGGATTCCCATTCCTTAGAACAGAATTTGTTTGGTAGATTAATGGGATGACTTCTTTTGCACAGCACAGGGGCATGGGTTTGGAGGGGCAGAGCTCTGGTGCTGATAAGACCTGGGGGAGTGATAAGCAATTGGCCCTTCCACGCTCATTAGGAGCAGTAAAGGCCTTCTCCTTGACTACTTTTCACCCTTCACCCCACATGCTGGCCAGTCTCAACCCACCACCACCCAAAAAAAAGCCGCTGCCTCCCCTCCCGAGGTGCTCACTCACCTTTCCCTTCGAACATGCCTATGAGCTGTGCCCCCATGGCCATGGCCACGTTGGAGATGAGGCAGGACGCCAGCTTCTGGCTGTGCGACATCAGGTCGTAGCGGGGCGAGATGAAGAAGTAAGGGATGTAGGAGAAAAAGTAGAGGAAACCGCCAGCAGCAGCCGCAACATTCGCTGCCAGGACACAGAAAAGCAGGAGAGAAAACGTCTGAGATGTGGTGACGCCACCGAGTATTTCTCACCAGCTTCCCACCCAGGGGGATTGAAAACAAAAAGTGGTTATGGTGGGGGGAGAACGAGAACGTGCCTGTGCCCCACAGCAAGGCACGAGCCACACTGAATAAAAACTCAGCCAAAAGAGGGAAGAAATACCCCCACCCCCGGAGTTATCCCAACACGGAGCCCTCTGCAAGTTTGCGTAACTCTGGAGCTGGCCCTGATCTGACTGACGACCTCGAGAGCTACTTCCCAACCAAAGGTTTCACAGCAAGAGGCCCGTAACGTCCCCTCAGCCCCACAGGTCAGCCGGGGAGTGACTCACCTCTGGAGAAGAAGGTGCTCACCATGAAGTTGAAGGAGATAGAGGAGATGGAGAAGATGGCGAGGAAGGTGAAAACCAGCGTGGGGTCGCTGTTTGTGAGCACCGCTCCCTGTTCACTCACCTAGTGAGAAAATCTGGTTACGCCCAAGACTGCTGAAGCAGGTCACAGGCAGCTGAGACCTGACATTCTCCATGGCTTAAAGACAAATGGAGAGATGGCTGAGAACACCCAGGCCCTCCTAGACCATGCCAGGGGGAGGAAATACAGGTTGTTTCACATGACGTGGGGTCCAAGAGGCAGGGGACACCTCACGCAGCATCCAGGCAGCCACCTCCTGCTGCTCCTCATGGTGTGGGTACAAGCAGAGAGGAGACCTTGAGTCCCTCCAAGGGTACATGGGGCTGTGGGTCCTGCTCTCCGTGTGCCTCCCCAGTGCCCATGGGGCTCCCACCTCCCAGTAGCCCACCCAGTTCTGGAAAAGCCTCCCTTACACACATGGAGGAGACCTGAGAGACCAGGACAGTCAAGCCTAAGGCAGAGGAGCCTTGTCGTCCCTGTGCCTTGCCAGCACAGAGCTTCTGGCTTGCAAAGACACTCACCTTGACACAGAAGAGCACGGTGACGAAGAACACGGACACCAGGAGGAAGAGGAAGAACATGAGGAACCAGGCGCTCCAGTGCAGCCAGTTGCTGAGGCCCATCATGTGCATGTACTCCTGCGGGGAGGTCATGCTGTCACCCGGGGCTGCACCCACACCTCCTGGGCAAAACCAAGGGAGGTGGCAGCCCCAGGTGCCACCATCGGCATCATGTGGTGTCCCCCACCTCCCTGTAGAGGGGCTGCCACCACCACGGGAGAACATCTCCCCAAATTGCTTAGCTGAACCCAAAACCACAGCAGCTGATGCCTGTGGGGCCACCGCGGCAGGACAACCACGCCAAGCCCCGATGGCGTCACCACCGCGTCAGATG